GTGTGTGTGTGTGTGTGTGTGTGTGTGTGTGTGTGTGTGTGTGTGTGTGTGTGTGTGTGTGTGTGTGTGTGTGTGTGTGTGTGCGTGTGCGTGTGCGTGTATGTGTACGCGTGCGTGCGTGCGTGTATGAGTGCGCGTGTGCGTGCGCGTGCGTGTGTGTGGGGAGAGAGAGTGAGACCTAGCCTAGCTGTGCTATGCACTACATACGCTGTCGTATATGCCTCTGTACGAGGGATAGAAAGAGCTGATAACGGAGTTGAATATTTAACCATTTATGCTGGTTTCTCTCGAGAGATATCTAGCATGTTTGCGCGTGTGAAGTAGCAGTGAACTCCCTTTCTATTACGTATACTCGCACTTTAAAATGTTATTTCACATGTGATAATAAACAGAAGCTTAAGACGTGAAACCTTCGGCTGGTTACTCGTACGTTTATGGAATAAGAAATGCATAATAAAATCTTAATCGTTTTGAATAACAGCAGATCCTTTTCTGAATACATTTGCTGCACACGCATGTTTGATGGATATAGTGACATGTGAAGGTGCGAGCTTAGTGAGCAGATGTGCGCAATATTACGCTCGTCATGTTGTGGTCTCTTCGGTTTTAGGTTTGCTTGATGTGGCTCGAAGAACTTACACAGAGATCGTTGACGACATCGCAGGTGAGCAGGACGTTGGGTTTAATTGCACTTTTTCCCCCTGTGTGTACATATACTGTCTCCCTTGGTCGTTGCGTACGTCCAATTAGCCAGCCTATTTATAAGCATAGACTGGGACACGTGCAGGAAGCTGTATGGTACGAAAACGTTACAACTATTGTACTGGGAAAAGTTGAAGTGATGAACTCCGTGCAGGATCTTGTAGCAGCGTAGTCTCGTGACAACCAGTAGATATGACGTAGTCGCAGATTCGTTGTGAGCTAGGACTTTATTAGTAACTCGAACACATACAAAATATATACATACGGCAACCTAGTTGACCTTGCCCAGGTCCCGTCATCTCTGTTTTCGTCTCTACATCTTGATAGGAATGACCATGTAATACGTCTCCTGTGTAGGTAACTCGGTAACTATAGTCTCTGTCTGTCCGAGCGTGTCTATAATTTGTACGCTTCTTAAAACAACCCGGACGCAATACAATCCGCGAACCAGTTTCTCACTCGATGATTCTACTATTAGTGACATATTAACGCGCAATTGTCTGTAATCATTAGGGTGCGCGGTGGGGCTACGTATATATAGTGCCGTACATCCCGCGTCATTACCAGCGCTCCTGGTTGATTACAACGCACAATGTACAATACAACACAACGCCTACTCAATATACCGAAGCTCACAGTGTAAGTAAGCAAATCTTACTAAAAGTCACTGTATACAGGAACATATATTGGACATACAATCCAAGACGTTTCATTTCCTACGGTGCATGTAATATCGATCTGCCTAACGATACACCGTACATTTATCTAGCTGTAGTTGTAGGTCTAGGTCCTCTCTTGTCCAACTAATAATTTAGCGCGTAAATATAACGAAATATAATCACACTTGCTTGATAATCACTTGTGGGATTATCGGTATAGTTTTGATCTTTATTACTGCAGTCAACGATTTTTTTTTATTAATGAAAGTCTTCTCGGCTTAAAATTGTCTGCAGCTAGTTAGAGACCAATGTGCTATACCTCGAAATATATGCGTCTCACATTTTAGAACAAAATTTATCGATAGGTGCAATAGGCTGTTTTTGAGTGATCCACATTGGCTGCGTGGTGCGTGCGCGTGCGTGCGCGTGCGGATGTGTGCGTGTGTATGTTCCATGTTCTATATTTAGTAAGTGTACTAATATTTGTTATCAACGATTTTCATGCGAACCCGGGCCCACTAAAATGTGTGATACAGGTTTTTATCTGCCAAATCCTGTACGTAGGTACTTCTATAATGCTGAACGGTTGCTAGCACTAGAAAGCCACGAATTGCTGTATGCATGGCTTTCGCTGCTGAACAGAAACGTTAGACGTGAAGCATAAGACGCATGCAGCATGAATGGAAGTTAATTTGGCACGGTTGTTGTGACATGCAGAGAGTGTGAAGGAGCTTGCACAGCAGTTCGACTTGCCATTGAGGACGGCCTACAACACTTCCAGAGGTTTCTTTATCCAGATGGGATCTGATAGGAGGCCAGACGAGAGGCAGCAGCAGCAGCAGCTTCCGGCATGCTTCATCAAAGTCGCTCGTTCGAAGGCCGTGATGAGCTGTACCACTAGCGACCTGGTAAGTACGTCCTCCTTCCCCATCCCTTCTTCCTCCTCACACATCTCTTCCTCCATCCACTTCACCATCCGTGCATCCCATCCTCACACAGTGTGTACCTCATTGGCTGTTCTCAGATGCACTTTCTGTGATCTCATATTCCTTCTTTACCTTCACCTTTTCCTACCCACTCATTATCGTGCCCCCATTATTTACCTTTCACGTACCCTACCACTCATCCACCATACCCTATCCTTCACCCTCCCAACCTTACCTTTCAGCCGCCCACTGTCACTATCCACTCGTCATTGCTGAACTGGTATTCATTTATCCAATTTCCTTCTTTCAATTCCTTCCCCCTTCCTCCATCGTGTATCTTTCACGTTCCACTCTTTCTTTCTCAAGCTTAAGCTTCAAAACTTACAATATATTCGCATCTATATTTACAACTACGACATCCATAAACGGTAAATGATATATTTCTTGTCTTCTTTCCTTTTTCCCCGATTTTCCTGTCATCCCGCTCGTCCTTCTGCTTCATCCTATCGCGGACACCTTCCTTTTCCATACTCGTGTTTATGCAATCTAATTAGATAGTCACATCACTCGAAGTACGGCAATTGTACTCCCTGTGTAATGTATATTGAATTGCTTTTCACATCTGTATAGATGCGTACGGTTCTGTAATTAGATTTTCAAAGAAGGTCCGTTGCATACGACGTTCCAATGCTTTGATTAGACTACGTCCCACAGAGGCAATCTGCAGACGTTCGTTAGTAGCATATTGCCGGCACTTACGCATGGTTGATGAGTCGCGTGGGGGAAAAGATCGCAGAGACAACTTCAAAGTGAATCGATGACAATGTTGCTCAATAATTGTTTATCAGCACTTATTGTTGGCATTTCGACCATGTGTATTTCCATTTATGTACGCACATTGTTTAGTTAGCTTGGCGTGGATAATATGTGAAGGTATCTGATGCAGCCTGGTTGAGTATACCTTGGAGTAATCATTCAGAATCTGACTCATATCGTGGATCTGCCGGGCATTAAAAATATGTTTAATATCGCGGACGCGCCTTAGTTAAATCAACAAAAATCAATATTTCTATTTTTATAACACATATATCACTTTATATAAAGAGATATTAAATATATGTTTTTTGATTAAAATTGTTCAATATAGTCGTATTTGTATCAAATTTATCGGTGTCACTCCAGATCTCCAACTAATACAACTATCCTAGACCCTGCCCGACTTCATAATACTTTGCCAGATCCGCTCAGTAACTGCTTATGAATATGTGTAATGAACATTCTTATATCATTTCATGTGGGACACTGATTCTAACAGATAAAGATGAACGGTATGTTGATAGTTGTAATAACACTTTGTGTAGAATCTGTAGATGAAACTTTGAGCGATCAATAGTTCTCTAATGAATGATACATGCATGCTTCATACTGTTTCATACAGGCTTCATGTCATGATGTGGTTTAAATTCTAAGTTTAATATATTTTCGTTCAAAATTATTTATATTTTGCCATAATTTTTTGAAGTGTGATATTTTGTAAAATGCGTATAGTGCAGCGTATAGTATTTTATTGTGCAGTGCAATGTTTATGTAGCTTATCTGGGTCTTCTTTCATCAATCTCATTATTCGTATATACATGGTTGCATTTTATTCTATCACTGTAATGTATGGTTTTCATCATATATTTATTGTGAGGTGCATATTTATAAACCTTTCAGATCGTGTGACAGAATCAATTCAAGAGATTTATCTTATGAGCAATATGTAAGTGGGAAGATATAATCCCCAAGAATATTCGCGCGCATTTGTGCAGGCATATTAAATTTTCGCCCATTGTCGCTATGCAATATGAGTATGCTATACATACATAAATGAATCACCAACTTTTATGTTGATTACCTATGTCTAATATCTTCCTTACTAATGATAACTATTTGCAAAATAAGCAGTTTTTGACGTTCGCTATTACGCTGCATATAATGGTATTGCAGATCATTGCTTTTTTCTGTAAGCCAGTTTGTTTTTTCTCGTTCGCAGAGTCGTGACGGAGTTGCTAAACGAGATCCGAGCAAACATATCGTGCGTCTACAAGGTGGCCGAGTGCGTCTCTATGCTGGACATGCTGCTTGCATTCGCTCACACCTGCACTGTATCTAATTACGGTATGCCTGCCCCTGTCTCTATAGTATATATATATTGCGGTGTTGTGCAACAGTGGAGGGCGTCCATAGGCAGCAGGCCTGAATGAGCATCGAACAGAAGTTAATTAAAAATACTCAGAGAGCTTCGTCGCATACACAACATGCATACTCTTGGTTCATGTTCAATAACCACAGTGTCAAGGTCTAAACTTCGCTCGAAACTTTTGCCAGCTAAATATAATGCGCATTTCTAGAAAGTATAGTCGAATCCCGTTTCAAACACAAAAATGACAAACACTCACTTGACGGAATGGCACAATTAAGCCATACACGACAAGACCAATCTCATTTCTCGTGCTTTCTAGATATCCAAGGGGCATCAACCTTGCGTGCATAGTGCAAATTATAGTGCACTCTAGTTCCGTATTTTACCGCAAAAAAAGGCCCGTTCCAGAGACGAACTAATGAAACGTTGAACGAATGGCAGATGACTACTGTTGAATGCCACCTATGCCTCGCCGCCGTGCCTGAATGGATTCATATCTCCTTCCCCCGTGCATGCATGCGTGAGCTGTAGTTGTTCAATAGCTCTCTCATATTCTCATAAACAATATTCTTGCACAAATAATCATGATGCTCGACTACCTTTGTTCCCTCGACTCTCCCCAGCAACCAGAACTTTTACTTTCACTACCTGGAATCTACGTGATCAGCGTAACAATTGGTTCATAATATCCGGTCAGCGTGCATAGCTTCACCATACGGAACAATAGTTTTCCCATGCCTGCGTGTATCATATCTTTCCTCGGTGCCTGCGTATATCATATCTTTCCTCGGTGCCTGCGTATATGTGCGTCTCTTACTTTTCCTGCGCAGTGTCTACCACCCTTCCTTTCCTTAGATCTCTCTCTCTCTCTCTCTCTCTCTCTCTCTCTCTCTCTCTCTCTCTC